CAACTGAGGCTAGAAACCGGAGGACGGCGCCATCTTCTCCCAGGCGAAAAGGCCCCCTCCAGCATCGCATCTCCCAGTGGCGAGCTGTAGGGGCAAGAAGAGCCACCGCTGAGAACTCGATGTGCCCTACCGGGAAAGGCGACGGAAAATATTCTGAGTTTAGAGATTGGGGAAGAAGACGACGGAAGGCTACGGGAGAGAATACTCAACTACTCAAAACTTGTCGCTTTATTTGAAAACGTGTATATGAAAGCAACTAATGTATATATTTAAAATGTTTCCAAAAAAAGTATGCATTAAATGCTTCCAAAATTTTTAACTACTATCTATTTATATATAAAGAGAGAACCCATTTACTGAAAATAGTAACAATAAAAGTTAACTAACATTTATTGCATTCAATTTTTGGCAGTTTTTTTTATTTTCTTTGTAAATTATTCCTAAAATATCGAACAACTATATATGGAACCTAAATTTATGAGTTTTGTGGATTTGATTTAGGTAAATTTTGACTGATGCTTACAATTTTGCAAAAGTCAAAATTCTTTCTCATTTTTTAATAAAAAAATAAATACATAAAATCGAGAATTTCGAAATCGGTAAAATACTACCACATATATCTTTTCTTAATTGCAACAGATCATCTGTTTATACAAAAATCGGATTACCACGTCAATTTAGGTAAAATTCGGCATGCTAATTTTGTAAAAGTCAAAAATCTCTCATTGTTAATTAAAAAAACATGTTTACCATAAAATCGAGAATTTTGAATTAGGCTAAATACTATAACATGTGTATTTACCTAATTGCAACAGATCATTTTTATTAAAAAAAAAATCAGATTGCATAGAAATCGGCTCAATTACAAATTGGTAATTAAAATATAACAATCATATCATTTGACTACTACTTCCTTTAGTTCAATTTTTTTTAAACACAAAAAGATAGTTAAATAATATTTATTTGAAATTCAAAATGAAATGGGATTGGAACATCCTAAAAATTTAAATTTTTTTTTAATCCTATAAAATACAAATTTGAAATTGATTGCATACACGTACACAATTTTTTTCTTCCTTAATTTAAGTAATTTACAATTTTAAAATAATAAGACTATAGATTATCGAAAAAGACATTTTACAATTTCCGTTATATTTGGCTATGCAATCTTCATAAAACCAGTATAAATCATATCCTATATATCATGCTAAATATTTTAATTGATTTATTTAAGCATATTTAAAATCCTAATATATATAGGTGTCAAGTGTTTATTTTCTTAGATAAAATTTACTCAGAGGTACGTTGTTTTCTGTTTAATAATATATATTTAAATTCTGTTTTATTTCAATACATGATTTTTACATTCTTCCAATCATCCAAATATAAATGCTTACCTTAATAAATTAGCCCGTGCATCGTACAGGTACCGCACTAGTTTTTAGTAAATGGTTATTCTTATTATATAGATATAGATTTTGTTTTGTTATATCAAATGCATGTGCTTATAAAATGGCATGCCACTAGTATATATAGGTGTCAGCTAATTGGCCTATTTGTCATTATGTGATGCTAAATCGTCATAGCAACTAAGAAATGCATAATAATTTGTGGCAATACGGAACAATATAAATTATACATCCATAAATAGCCTAATTTCATATGTTTTAGAATGACATCCAAATAACATTATAGCATGGGCGCTTTCCACAATCTCTACATACTAGTACAACGCCCGTGTATTACACGTGTGCTTGTTAAAAAAATTTCTTAAAATTTAATATTAATTAGATAAAGTAGTTGAAAATTTAAATTCTTTATATATATCTATCTCTCTATATATATGTATAATATTTTAGTATGACACTTGTTACTTATGCGACTTACATGTATTATATTATAATAATTTTTCTAACTTATAACATATAACTACATTAAACATGAATATATTAATTGAGTAATAATTTATTTTTTTAATTAATTTTAAAAAATATTTTTATATTATTGTAAAGATAAATATAATTTATTTATTTTATGGATGTCAAATCGAAGTTCATCAAAAGATGATTAATTTGATATATTATATATGTAAAACCAATAAGAAATACAAAAGTTATCAA